TCAACAGAGTTTTGCATAAATTTGTTTACAAGAACGAGAATTTAGCGCCGCGATAGACGACGACTTTCCCTCTTGGGTAGCTTAAATTTTTATCAGACCATTCTGGAATCGAGTCTGCAAACGAGATTCATGTTCGACATAAAACAAATTATTATTAATCGATGCGCTAACATTTATTCCCGGAGAAACACAGGACGACCTGTTGAGAATTGCGATCGATTTGCCTGAATTCCTTCGAATTCCCAAAGAAGATCACATTGCTGATTACATCAAAGCCGAAAGTACAGTACGACTTGCAACGTTGCGTTACTTTCCAACTCAGTTTGTTATTCACTTTGTTGCGTTAGATTACGACATGACGACATGAAATTAATTTATTGCGGCGTTCTTTTTCTTAGAAGGGTTAAGTGCAAAGCATCAAAAAACGCCAAAGAAAAAAGAAAATCATTGCAGGATTATAGAGCATTAAGCGACAACTGTATGGAAAATAAAGTGTTTGTATCCAAAAATGACCGGTCAAAATGACCGGCAAGACCGGAGTTTGACCGGTCAAGTCCGCGATCAGGCCGGACATTGTCCGTTGACCGGCCGTTATTTGCAGCCCTGCGTGATACTGGTATGTTGCCACGGTTCATTTAGGAATATGGGGACCTGTTCGGTAAAAATTGGCATGATTTGTTGGCAATGTCATTTACTAGCAAACCCAGATCTAGAACAAAACTTTGCACTATGGAGAAGGCTATTTGACCAAAAAATAAGTATGCGACGCACAAGCAGAAATACCAAAACGCAATTTACATTTCGAAAAGTGTAGGTGGAAAGAAAGATAAGCCTGGAAAACTTACCTGGTTCTACGATCTGTTTTTTCCCAGCAAGATCTTGAGCCTTGGTGGACCGTACTTAAACAACCATGCCTTATCCGGTAGAAGTATTTTGCAGGACGCCCAGAGGCCGCCAAACGGCCGAATAACTTTGAAGGTTAGTGATTAAGGTCAGGAAACTGAGTGAATCACGTTTCACGTCAGTTCAGTTAACCCTACACGAAACCAAAAACACTCCGTTTCCTGACGCTAATCACCGGCGTGGCTTATTTTCAGCTTTGTTCCCGCTTCATCGGGTCCTCTCTCTCGAAAGGCTTGCTTCATAAGTGAATTAATTGATTACTGAAGGCTACTGATTTGTAACCCTCCAATCTTATGCCCGCACACTTTCAAAATGGACGCCAACGGAATGACGCGACTCGATAGAACATGTGCTAAAACGAAAGTCCGCTGATCAGGAGTACGATTTATTCACAGTTTTACAAGTTGCTTACCATTGGACCGAAAATTTCGGAAATTCCGGATGAATGGTAAATGGCAAGGTCACTTTACGAAATTACATTTTCATGTTTGCTGTCACACGGCGAAAACAAGCTGCTTTCTTCGGACCTCTCTTCGTTGACCATAGTCATGCATAGTAGACACAGTGTATTCTTGGCTTGCACTGTCACGCAATGAAAAATAAAAATGCAAACCATTCAATACAGAAGGACTAGAATCTGGGAAACGAAAAAAGATAAATGTACAAAAACCCTTGCCAAGAATCAGGTCTGTAAAATATTTCAAATGCGAGATATTGGGAAAAACGGTTTACCTAAATTTATAATTAAAGCTTTGTATGGAAACGCCATGTTGGTGTCCCTTTCAGTGCAGGAACACCAATATGGCCGCCGGATACCAACAGAAACATCTGTTTTCGAGTTTTCCTACTAATGCGTGAATTCTTCGCTTGAGGAACTCATATAGATTACAGTAATATTTATTCTGAGACAAGGAATGTTTAGATTGCAAAATCTCCTAAAATCGGTTATGTTTTTAACACAAGTAAGAGCTTTCCCGGCCGCCTGCTAAATGCCGCGTCACGCAAAAGCCTGGATATTCAAGCGTCCTCTCTCGCAAAACGAAGAACCCTTTCGAACCAAAAATTTTTTTATGTAAAGGTGTTTAGGTACTGTAATACCTCGTGAAAGTAGAAACTCAGAAGAATCGATAGTTTCTTAGTTTGATTTTTGGTGACGTCACGTGCAACCCAAAAAATCAACCTCGTCCCCAGGGCTTTTCCCTCAAATTTCCATTTTTCCCATTTTTTGAGGGAAAAGCCCCGGGGACAAGGTTGGTAAAAAATAGAATTTTTTACGCATACTCCAAACAATAGGGCAATTTTGGTGACCACCTACAGTTTGCTTTTCTTGTTTTTAATTTTATTTTAATCCTATAGCCTAATGTTTACAATCACTTTTCTCTGCTAGACTCATTTAAGTAATAATCATAACTATGACAAAATTGTCAAATCTGATTGGCTATCAACTCCCCTGATTTCAACCTTAATTGGACAGTTTCATAGGACAGTACGCGTCATGCCTAAGTAATTGGACAGTACGCACCATCACGGGCGCTCTTAAATGGCTTTTTTTTTTCACTGCTAGCAAAACAAACTTTCGAATTTCTTGTGTTTTGATTTAAAAAATAGCCTATTATACCACAAATTTTGTTAAAGTTATGATTAATTGGTAGCAGAACTTCGTGTCGTCCAATTCGGTCTGTAATCATACGAGTGATTAAACAAATCGGACTCCCGCTACGCGGTCGTCCGATTTTGTTAATCACTCGTATGATTACAGACCGAATTGGACTCAACTCAGTCCTGTTACCATTACTAATACTTTGGCTATCAAGAAATCTAAAACTAATAAATGTCAAAAGGAGTATATCGATGATTTCCCAAACAATGTAAAATTTAAGACCTAACCACATAGATAACTTACCGTAAAATTCCGAAAATAAGCCCCGCCATGTATAAGCCACCCAAAATCGTAACGCAAAAAACCCTCCGTTAAATCGCCCATCCGAATATAAGCCTCCTGGGGGGCTTGTACTTGGAATTTGCCCTCGAATACAAAGTAAAACAAAGCAAAAATGGTAACTTTGGTACTTTGATTGGCTTTAAGGTATCAAAAATTCGTTTAGAAGACTCTTTCACACAGAACCCTGGGATGTGTTGAGTAAGCGGGTGTTCTTCATGATTTAGGCTTTGTTCACACCAACCTCGTTCCCAGGGTTCTCTCCTACCCGCGGAGAGAACCCTGGGAACGAGGTTGTGTTCACACTATACTGGATAGGCTGGATAGCTTTTGCGCCAACAGGAAAACCATACTGGATAGGGCTTCTGTTCACACATAAGAACGGTGATTTCGGCACGAGGCCTGTAACGGAGCCAAGCTGCGCCGCACCGATCTCTATATAATGGAGACTCACGTATCGGATACGTTTTCATACTAGGCTGATTCAGCAACAGAACGTGAACGTCATTTAACGACTGGAAAGCGCGCGGAAAGGACTACACTCGACTTCCGGTGCCCAATTTGCCGTTCTGCCATTGGTCAAGCCAGTTGTTTGATTTGCGCGCGCCGTCGTCAACTGACGTTCCCGTCCTGTTGCTAAATCAGCCTACTATAGCGGATAGCTTTGCGTGTCGGCACAGAAAGATATACGGTATTGCGTGAACGTAGCCTTAGGGCCTGTTTACATGGAGGTGGGGGACGCCAGACAGGGGAGTTCACATGCGGCGGGTCACCCCACCTATCATGTAAATGTGATCAAATTAAAAGGAGAGATTATATAGACAGGCGGGTTACCTCACCTAGGCAGGTTACCTGACCTATCTGGGGTCTAGAGTGACATATCAAATCACAGCATGTACGTAAAATTTAAATGTTGAAAAGAGGGACTATAACAGGATAATTTTTACAGCTTCTGCACGGAGGTACTCAGGTGTCATCGTCTAGTAAACACTAATGGTGGGGGTGTGCCGCCCGGTTCTCCAAATCTTGACCCTATTTCAGACCGAAAAATGTTATTTTTCACATCCGTTTTCAGACCTGGCCTCCGGGAAAATCCATACCCATTCTCAGACCTAGCCTTTAAAAATTATGTCATCTTACTTAGATGAGAATAGCAACAAAAACAATTTCTTAAAATCCATTACGAATTCCCATATTTCTCTTTCTTTCTTACTCATTTGGAATTGAAACAAATACGTTCGTACACTCCCGAAATCCCTGGAAAACCATACCCGATTCCAGACCAGAGAGAGCAAAAACTATACCCGTTTTCAGACCAAAAAGACGCAAAAACCCTACCCTTCGGGGGAGGACATACCTATATGGCTTATATAGGGGAGTACCCCCCTGGTACAAAAGCGATTAAAATTGTATACAATGGCAGAAGCGCATCCTACAATTACGACAAAAAGACATAGTTCTCACAAATGCTGCATTGGTGCGCTTTGCAATAATCGTTCCCATAATAGAAAAGACTTGCCGTCTCATGTATTTCCGAACGATCCTTGCCGAAGGTTAGCTTCTCCACTGTCCACTATCCAATGCACTCAAAGGTCGTGGTGAAACCAGACCAGAGCGTCATTGGGTACAGGGGCGGATCCAGGATTTTTTTTTAGGAGGGGGTGCACTCGTCTCTTGCTCTACTTCAACAACAATAAACCACATAGTTTTTTTTTTTTGCAGAATATCAGTTGTCTTAGAAAACCGTAGGTCATCTCGGGGGCGGAGCGCACCCCCTGCACCCTCCCCCTAGATTCGTCCCTGGGGTAGGTTGGTATAACCAAATCGAAGTCTCAAATGTCTAGCGTCCTGCATCTCATTTAGGAATTTACTGACCTGGCTGGAATAACTCCTGATTAATAATAGAATTCTCTTTATCACTAGACTGGTATGGCAGGCCAGTCCTTGCAAATGCTGGTTTTTTTCCAAAATAGTCTACCATAAGATTCAACTTTGAATCGTCAACCAGTCAAAAATATTGTCATATCTGCTATGCTTTTAAAATCAGAATGAACGTTTCTAATCATGTCAAGCGACCTTAAAATAGGACCAAAAGGGTGATGCGTCTAAAAAAATGGTTTATACACAAAGCGTTTATATCGCGTGAGAAAGACTAACTTTAATCTGTCAAGGACAGAAGTGGCCTAATTTCTTCACTTCTTTTTAATTTACTGCAACACCAGCCAAAACAAGCAACAAGAAACCGGACAACCAGCGATAAAGCCGCAGCAATTACGAAGATACCAAATATTGCAGGTACTGCACAAAGAATGACAGTTTCCACTACTTGCCAGAAACGCCACCAGAACTGAAAATGATCGGTTAATGCGACGGCCAAAGATACAAAGGAGGCAAAAAACATGTTTACCATTCCCAAAAGGACAAGAGACAGCAACGAAATGGTTTCAAGGTTGTTAGCAGTGACATCTCGAAACGGCTGAGAAATGGCATGATGCAGGAGAAACAAAACACAAAGGAAACTCATAATGAGAAGACGAGGCATTGGGTCACTGACGAACGTTTTCAACAAAATGAGAATAAGTCGTCGTCCGATCATAACACTTTCCCAGCCCAAAGAAAGTGTGCTGCCTTCCGCAGGTCTTTTGAAACAGCCAAAAAGTGTCATCTCCACAGATCTCTTGGACATTTTCCTCGTGGCTGAATCTATACGGGCCGCATTTCGTTTTATACAAAGAAGAAACAGAAATAGCCGATAAAGAAGAAAAGGCAGTGGAAAACAGCAAGCCAATAGAAATTTCGCCACAGAAAGGCTTCCGTTGTGCAACTTATAACAACCCCAAAATAAGACAAACACAAACGGCACGAAAAAAGCAAACACCAAAGCAATCAAAATATATTGCCACCATAGAAAACAGACAAGGTTTCCATCCAAAAATAGACGTTTCTCTGAGCCGATTGGCACACATCGTAAGAGGTTAAAACTAACTGAAGCAAGTGTTTTATATCCTAGCAACATTGTCTGCAAAATGCCAGCCATATAGGGCGAAAAAGATGGGGCCTCCTTTCCTCGACACCTTTGTGCTGCCCTGTGCAAACTATAAAGGACACCTATCATGAGAGATGTACCAAATACTTGAGAGGCCGAAAATAACTGCTTCGTTACTACTGTAAGGCCCGGAAAGGGACAAATCAGTCCATTTGACGAAAAAGATTGTCGAAAGTTGAATACTCCAACCAGTATGTCCTTTAATTTACCCTCTACAAAAACCAGTGATGTGTTTGAGGCTAGGAGAAGGTCCGCTGCCTGATAAAAATAAAAGATTATTTTTACGTAACCTTCGTCGCTGTTACGTTCTTCATCTCCCGTCTCGTGGGTTTTAAACCACTTGATTTGACGCATAATCCAAGGCGTTATAGGAGGCTTAAATGTCAAGTAAAATGCTATTAGCGATACGTAGACTAACGATAAAGGCCAAAACCAATAATCATTGCACTCGTTTAAGGACCTGCAGGTTGTAGAGTAAAGAGTCTCCGAGTAAGCATCACTGCAGTGTCCACACAATTTGCCAGTACGGTAACCCTGGCAACCATTGTATTTGGGAAACTCGGTTTCGTTAGGAGGACTACAATAACCAACGGGACAAATGGTAAATTTGAGAGTTGGTGGAGTAGTCTGTTCTTTAAAACCCCAAAAGTTTGGTTTGGCGATTATATTTTGAGAGCAGTTTGCTCCAAACGGACATGGAAGACACTGAAATCCAGGCACGGCATGGACTCCAACAGCACGACCACGCTGTAGACTATAGGAGTTCTCTGCGCATGGTGAACAGGTAAACTGCCAAAAACAAGGGCTGTTATCTTTATCGCCTAAAGTATAGTTAAGTATTTCCATTTTACTCCCAGCAGGACAGTTTAGTGAGGTCGAGTTGTCTTTTCCAAAATCCATAACTGTCACGTTTGTGACCAACAGTAGAGGACCATTACTGTCATATGGTGTAGCTTCCATTGTTGTGTTATGTATTGTTAGTACCTCTAAACTGTGGCCGCTTATAAACGAGGCTTTTTTGTAACTGAATAATGACTTCCTTAACTCTGTTTTTGTTTGATTAAGAACACTGTCTTGTATAACAACATTTTTCACACCATAGGCTGCGTACAAAAACCCACCCTGAGCTACTGCAAAGTTGTCAACCGCATAACAGTTTTTAAATGTTACCCCACCATTTTGTAAATACACAGCGCCTCCCAAAAGGCCTGTATTTCTCTGAAACATTGTTTCTTCAAATGTCACTTGAGAGTCCTGTGAGGAAGTGGCCCCTCCTCTTGCAGTCTCTTGTGGATCTTGTTCGCCTACATTGTTCTCTACGAATTGACTTTTTTTAATTGTTATTTTACCGCATGAATATGCCCAGATAGCACCTCCATTAGTTGCTGAACAATTATTGAATGTGGTGTTAAAAATGACAGCGGACATAGCAGGAACAGATAAAGCGCCTCCGCATCCGACATAATTTACAGCTCTATTACCGTCAAAAAATGAATCCGTAATGTTAAGTAAGTTAACACTTACATACAACGCGCCACCTGCAAAAAATGCCGTATTCTTCAAGAATTGGCATTGCTGTATTGTTAGATTACCGGATTGGATGAGCGCAGCTCCTCCAACTCCACCTCCGCGATAACCAAGAACAGTGTTCGATTCCATAGAGACGTATAAAAAAGTTACGATACTTTGATCATTTACATATATATATGTTTAAGGAACAACAATGCCATTGTTTTCAA